CACTAAGCGAAAATTCAAATAGAAAGCCAAATGTAATTATTTTTAGGATATTTCATAAGGTTTCATTATTAATGTTGATTGTAACAAGTTTCAGTTAAGAAAAAAGAAAGACGGAGAGACATTTAATATAAGTTGAAAAGAGAGAAATTTATTTGAATCTGCTAGAATCTAGAATCAACACTGCTGAATAGACCTACAAAATGTCTGTTGTATGGTATTGTGTCAGATTTGACATCATTTTTTGTTCATTATTGTAAAAATATGGCAGATAAACTATATGATCTACCTTTTACATAATTTATTTCCATATTTGTGTGCTTTAAAAATGTTTTTTAAAACAAATACACAAACAAAAACTACTAAAACAGGAATCACAACACAACAGAAATAATATTTCATTTTGGTAATGTCGCTAGACACATGAAATACTTTAACTTTAAATTGGAATAATTATTTTATAGTATTATGTAATATTTTTTTTTGGTATCAAAAATACAAAAAAAAATATTTTCAAAATATAAGCATTTCCACTTTCAGCAACGACAATACCCCATTTTAGAGGATTTTGGTCAATCTAATTATGCTACTTTAAGTTTAAAACCACTAATAAAATAATCACTTATGTATTGACAGGTTAAATCATTCAAATTTGTGTATCCAAGAAAAAGTTACATTTTTTTCTAAAAACTCATCATATTTGGGGCGTGCTTGTTTTTTCGGCCTACTATATTCATATTTTACTATGAACTGGCCTGTGTTGACAATAATTGGTAGGTACCACAATATTAAAAGAAGTAAAGTGTGAAAGCCTGACCCCATACTTGTATAAATATTATGTCATGTTACAAAGTACGGCCTGCAACACATTATTGAGAAATATCTGTTGCATGCTGTATACCACTATAAAGAATGTATAAAAAAACATTCATTGTGAAGTCTATAAGAGGTAATATTTAACATATTAAAAAGCGCTTAAGTGTAGTGATATAACACCATTATTTTAGAAATGAGCTGTTACTTCTGGAGGTCTTATCTAAGAGTTATTTTGTCGCTGATATTCATAAATCTAATAGAAGTTAATAATCCTCGCACAAAAAGTCGCAAAAGAAGTCTTAACGCTCAAAAACTTCCATAACAATACTTATGGAAGTAATGTGTTAACTGGGTATTTACTGTTTACTAACTAAGGATGAAAACAACAACATTTATAGATTGCTGCTTTAAATCTTAGAGTCAGTTTATCAATATTCAGTTAACTCTAACTATAAATAAAATTAAATTCATATTCGTTTTTTTATGACAGTGCCATACAAATTTATTAACCAAAACATTAGTTTTGAGAGCGGAATTAGAGAGTATTCCGAAACTTTTTAATCTAAAATATTTGGCATTTTAGTTTCATTTTCGGGTTACTATTATTTTAAGTCTGAGAAATTCTTTGGATGGGCTAAAACATCTTTTTCAAAAATTAACTTTTAACTAATCCTTTTGGGGCAAAGATTTATTTAACAATTTTTTAAATAATTTATAGGATAGTGGCTTAGTGCCCAAAGATGGAGTGAGAAGTTTTTAGAGGAATTTCAAAAAAGAAAAAGTTATAAAGATTATTTATTAAATTCTCATTAATTATTCTTTTCCTATTTGTCTTTCTGTTTATTCAGATAACATTATTTGTAACCGCCCTTCGAATCCGTTCCTAAACAGTAATACTCACATTTCAAAATGTGTAAGAATTACATGTGTGTGGAAGATATAATAAAATATTTTAAATTCAAATTGACTTAGAAATGCTTCTTCAGAAGTTTAGAATATTTACCTTTACATATATTATGTCGCTTTCGGATTTCTGTTTTCTAATTATTATTATGTTTATTATTCAATATTATTATTTATACAGCGGTTCTTACTTTTAAGACAGGTATAAAATAGGGTAAAATAAAATTTGTTAAATATGTAAATTCTTCTAATATGAGCATATTTCACATACTTCCTTTCTTCTATTTTTGTCTCTGTACCATTTTTGGAGCCGATATATATGATATATATTCCAAAAAGGATTATAGGCAAATTAATAATGTAGGCACATAAATAAGAATCAACAAGTATATATATTGCTCTTTTTTCTACAGACTTTTTACACCTATTTTACTTTGCCCTCCTCATAAATTACAACAAACAACACCTACTTGTAAATCCTAGTACATTAAAATTAAGACCATAAAATGCTGTTCACTCCTTAAAGGCCGCTAACAAAATTGTCAGCTTTCCCGTACTTTATCACTTAGTAAACTTTCCTATCTCATAATGAATTGTTCTATTTGTTCTTTGGAGAAAATTTTCGCGTAACTCCTTGGTATTATGTTTAGATTGGAGCAATATTTTGCGGAAAAGCTTAACTGGGCAGTATTTCCTAATTGTGTAGCATTTAGTGACATCGGCACTCTGCCTGGTGAGCGCAAGGATGTTAGGGGTGGCCAACGGCACATGAAATATGAACTCGACGCACCGTTGTGAGCGATCGACCCCCGAACATCCCCCGACTTGTTCGACGCATCCGGTCCGGGGGTGAGACAATGTAACCGGCGGGGAATACAACCCCCTGTGATGCCGCTGCTTTTGCTATTGTACCCATCCTTATTACTCGAGCCAGAACATGCGGATGCAGGGGTGGATCGTGATTTGGTTTTGTACCTAGGTCTTACTAAATGGTCCACTTTTGTCAGACGTTATTGTAAGCATTAAATCATGCAATAAAATTATCATTATTAATAAATATAATGTTTAATCAACTGCGGATCACAACATATATTCACAATTTATATTATAGTTTAGAAAATATGGTATAAATATGTTAACTGGAACATGTAATTTTATAATTAAGATTATTATGTCCAAAATTTTATATGGTGAAAATAATCGTTTGTGGGTGGAAGGTTTGATGTGACATTAACAGCTAACTATTAGTGTTAGTTTCCGGTGAGCCCAGTAAAGACACTTTCCGGGAGTGTTGCGTACAATATTTTTCCTGCAACCTTTCTTGCTACCCTCAAAAAATTTTTAAACTTTTCGCAAACAATTCATAAGATTCAACCGACAAATTTCAAATGCTTACTTTCAAAGAAGACTAGATTAATCATTTTTAATTGTTATCAGATACTGTTTTGTCAACCAAGTGACATAATGTATCGGTATAGTTAATAATAGTTATTACTGTTATTATAGTATAGTTACTATACTATAGTTATTTACATTACAAGTCCGGTAAGTGATGTTACAATACGAGTTAGATGTTTCTAAACGAGTACCGTAACAATCACTTAACGAATGTATAACGTATAACAATTTATTTCATACTGTGCTTTTGATATTCCACTATTTAACAAAAATCGTATCACATTTTATTTCATATTGTGGATTCAATATTCTACGATTTAATTCAAGTTGTATTGCCTGCTTTTATTGCATAGGTATATGTGTTTTATTTGTTGATTTATCTATTTGAATTTGTCATCTAAAATGTCAAAAATGGAAGCTAACCAAGACTGTGACCTTTCTAACAAAATGTTATTGAAATTTGTGGAAACAACGGCAAATCGGATTCCCACGAAATCTGCTGGAAGGTATGATAATTAGGATCTTGTTTTAATTAAAGTTGTCAAAAAAGTTACGTTTTGACATTTTATTCTGTTAATAAGAAAAGAGTCCGGTAAGTTGCCTAGCAATCATTTACCGACTCTGATACTGTAATGACGCACTTACTGGATTGAAATTAATAACGTAAACAAGAATTTACCGTACAGTATGAAATAAAAGACTTTACCGATCTCTTATGTCACATTATCAGGCTAGACCAATAAATATGTATTTTCCACTCAAAATTTTTTCCAAAAACACCAAATAATATATTCGACGTACATTTCGCCATGAATGTAAGCATCATCTGGGGATGATTAAAACATATCACGATCTTATCTTTTCATCTTTCTATAGATTGAATTGAAACAATCAATTGCCATATTATAATAAAAATATACGATTTGGGGACCAAAAACATCAAATTTGTTGAAATTGGCAGGCCATTTAAATGTTTATATGTGTGTTTGTCATCTGTATCTGACGCGTCTTTCTTAAACATTGGAAAAAATGGGAAACATCACATAGATCTGAAAGATTCAAGCTTATTAAATGTGCACCATGGAGGACATTTTTTTATAAAGGCCCAAAAAGAATGTTTACCTCGTCAAAGAATGTTTAAAATATAAATCATTCAGAAAAAGGAGTGTCGAAAACGTCTCTTGATATCGATAGGAATTTACCGCCGTGGTGCGTCTAGCTTACACACGTTTTAGTTTAGTTACTAAAATTGCTGTAGGAGATTTGACTTTACACGAATAGGAGCTGCTTGAAAATTTAATATTAAGTGTCAAAATTGTCCGCAACTGACAAAAGTAATGAGATCATTTAATGAAGGAGATATCCTATCTTTATTATGAGATCCTAAAACTTCAAGATCTCTGGATCGAATATACCTCTATTTTTATTGTTAGAATAAATTAAAGTAAAATGTCATCCAATATTCATCATTAATTTCATTGAGAATTTTAATTTTGGATGCAACAAATGCAAAATACAGCTGTAGAATGATAAAAACATTCGAAAATTAAAAAAAATTTCGATACGTAATAATATTTTTATTATATTATTATTATATCCTCAACAATATATTTTCTTTTCATGATAGTGGAGGTATATTTTGGTCTACAGTGATTTTCTCAGTATAACAAAATGAGGATTAAGTTTTTCGACCACATACCAAAAAAATCTAATATAAAAATATTATTATAGGAAATAAGGTCGTGGCGTGGTTCATTGCTGTGTTTCAAGTTGCTTTATATTTAAAATAGCATATAGAATAAAATGTTGCTAACACTTAAGTACACATTAAAACAATCAGTACTATATGTTCGTTTCGCCAACCATATTGGCATACATATTTGTAGGCATGATAGCTGAGTGGGTAAAGTGCTTATTGCTATTCACTGGATACCGAAAGCCGATGGTTCGATTCCATCCTGGAGCAAGTTAGAAATTTTATTTGTAAATTGTTTCAGACTAAGATGGGACAGGGAGTTGTCGAAACCCTAGATATGGTTCGGACTACACAATAAACTGTACGGCCTTGTCTCTCTTTTCCCAACACAAAATCCTAGGATTTTCCGAGGGTTACTTAGGTGACTTGAGAAAACATTTTAAGAAGGAAAAAAACAAAACATCTAGAGATAATTGAAAATGCAACCTAGGTTAGTGTCACATCAAAGGTTTCAATCCTCTTCAAGACATATTAGCTGAAAATAATAAAAAGTGCTTGCTTTATAATATTAATATTGGTTAATTATTTGGGCTTACTTTGGCGTTAATCCATGATCATTATAGCAGTAATAGAAATATGGAAATTAAAAAACAATACGAAATCAAAATAAAATGACATAACGCTTAGGTACACAAAAAATTAAAATTCAAGCGGAAGCTTTAGAAACAAACAACCCTTTATAAGTCCCTTTTTGAAGTATTAAAAATGGCATATATTGTTTTAGAAATGCAATTGTGTGCTAGCAGCCCCTAATCCCACACTGTGCTTATCAGTACTCATACAGAGTAGCAATTTAATGACGAGTCGGCAATGTAGACATCATGAAGGTATTTTCGCATGATTAATTGCCAGTGTATTGATGTAGACAACTTGACGTATTTAAAGCCAATTTACTTCGCTGTTGGATGCCTGTAAAGGATACAATTAATCTTTAATCGAAATGTTATTTCTCTTTTGTTTTTAATTCTAGCTAATTAAAATTTTATTGACTCACCTAGCTGAACGTTAATTAGCGACCTAATGAAAGATTTTTATGTAGCGTTCAGGTAGAATAGTCGTTTTTGGTAAATTAAAAATAAAATGGTTTGATTCAAAGGAATCTGATTGAAAAGAAAATCTTGATTACTTTTGTATTAAACAAAAGTCAATTAAGGCACAATGTAACTGAATCTGAACTTCATAAAAAGATAACTTTGTCAGATTTCCTTTATGGAATAAATATTCTGATAAACAAGTATCTTTCTGAGATAGAAGTCTTTCATAATTTTACACTGAGGGTAGCCCAAAATTTTAATATAAAAGTTCTAGCTTGTTTGAAAAAGGTTATTTTAACAATTTTTCGGTAGAAAACTAGTGATCCTCAAGTTACTACAGCCAGCACGGAATAATGAATATTTATATATGTCCACTCATCATCGACATCCTCGACCTCGACTCACACCGCGAGCAACGAGGCTTCTTCGGCATGTCCATGCCCTTGGATTGGGCGACGTGGGACAAATTTCAATAAATAAATTTAAAATATTACAATGAAATCAATATAATCTTGAAAATAAACTGAGCGATTTTCTTTGAATAAATGAGGTAAACAATTGCTAATTGACAAATACTGAAAAAATACATTGATGTCAATGATTACACTGCCCTAAAACAGATTACTTGCAAAATATTTATTGTATCTTAAAACCTCAACAAATTAAAAAATAGCGTAATTTTTTGAACACTTTAATTGAACATTGTTTAAAGTTATGTTACATCAAAAATTGATGTAGGAAAAGTAAACTGGCCACTGGCTATTCTAATATGACGGCCGAGTTTACGAAAGAAATGTAAAATAGTTTTTTTTTTTTTTAAATAACTAAAAAAACCAGAAAACTTCCTTATGAGAAAATGATATACATGCACAACGTAGTCTCGAGTCATTAGTTCCAATATTCTGTAACATCCAATTTCAAGAGGGTGAAATTTTAATCTCCATAGATGTTTGTTAATTGTTTCCTATTGTACTAATTCCAGAGTATACACATACATACATACAAACATACATACATACATTCATACATACATACATACATACATACATACATACATACATACATACATACATACATACATATATACATACATACATACATACATACATACATACATACATACATACATACATACATACATACATACATACATACATACATACATACATACATACATACATACATACATACATACATACATACATACATACATACATACATACATACATACATACATACATACATACATACATACATACATACATACATACATACATACATACATACATACATACATACATACATACATACATACATACATACATACATACATACATACATACATACATACATACATACATACATACATACATACATACATACATACATACATACATACATACATACATACATACATACATACATACATACATACGGTAGTGTCTAGTCTAGTGTTTGAGACATGCGTTTGGGAACAAAAATAGATATTAGCAATTTAAGTTTAATTAAAAATATAGCAAATAATTTGTAGCAATTACAAAATGTAAAAATAGTATGAATGGTGATATCCCAAATAATTGACTTTACTAATTAGTGAGTCACGGTGACGTCTTCCCGATTTGTTGGTCTCAGTTCGACGAAAATGTAAATAGACAACGTTGTTAATGTAAGTTTAGCTTTCATCTTCAGATGATGACATCTAATTTGATAAAACGTGCGTCGAATAGAATAGAAATATTTTGGTCTTTGTGGAAATTACTCCACTGTTAGACTTACTTAACTATTTGTGCTGATCTGATTACTGACCCGAAGAGGCCTGTTTACTTTTTTCGATATCCAAATTTTCCCTGTATTACATAAATAATTATTTAAATACGTGTGTGGTAGAAAGTTCCAACAAGAAAAAACTTTTTCCATTGTCTAATTCATTTCATTTGTATTTATTAGTTTATTTCTATTATTTCCAGATAAGGTATTTTGACTTTGTCATATTAGTACAAACGTAGGTGGTAGACTATTTTTAATTAAATAATATTATATATTAGAAACAGTTTAGACGGAAACTAACTTATGCATCAAATTTATTTCACAAAATATCCATTACATTTCCTTGCAGCACAATTAAATTTGCCCACATTATCCTCTTATAAACATAAAGCTTACTGGAATGAGTATTTATATGTCTGAAGTGCAAACGGTTTATATGTAATTGTGTTCACCACATATGTCTGAAATATACAAATTGTGTTTTCACCGTCATGTTCTCAATCGTATCGACCGGCAATGCCAATCTGTACGAATACAGAGAATAGTGTAAATACAATTAGATTAAGTGTCAGTCGTTCTGGCACAATACATTCATTGTTATTGTTATAGTCTAAAGTTGAGTTGAATGGAAATAATTTGTTAGAGAGGCTTTATACCATATCGAGTTGCTAGATTATATACAGGAAGAATAAAAAAAATCTGGATCCATTTCTAACACGATAGATCTCCAAGAACAATTCCTGAAATTTAAAATTAAATTGAAGGTATCAAAAAAGTACTTCAAAGTATATTGTGCAGAGAGGTCTTCAAATTAAAGACAACGGACATACACCCAATATCTGTGTGTGATAGGATTAGTTTTTGCTTTAGAAAAAATCTCAGCTTTTTAACCGGAGATTTAACCTGGGACTCAGGTGATGTGCAAGTGTCTTACCACTTGACCACGAACCCACAAAACAGACACACACGATTGATTGAAAAGTTTCTGTACATTATAACGTTTGATGGTAAATAAAGTTGAAAATACGCCGTTCTTGTTTATTTATTTATTCATTAATGTGATCCAACAAAAACGAATACCAATTAAATACTACAGAAATTAGACAATCACCGAATTCAAAGCGAAGCTGCACAGGCGAGGGTTACACTTATGAAAAAAATGCAGACAAATAACCACAGGACGATGAAGAGATTATCTAATCACACTTGCGATCGTGTGCGCTATCCAATTACTCTACCGAGCCGTTAATTATAGAACAACTTATAAGCACGCGCAGTAAGAGTATGCTTACTGTGCCACAAAGGTGTAAGAGGTGCTCAAGGAATGTATCTATTAACCCTAAAAACATAATTGGCTATAAATTCCATAACTTTCTTGGTCATGGTAGAAAAGAGGTCATATAAAATTATAGACGATCATTATTAGAAGGATAGTTTCTTCTTGAGTTTAAAGTTTCTTCTGCAATTCTAATACGTATGAAGAAAATTAAACAGATATTGAAAATTATCATCAAATAACTTTACTAAGTATGTGTATTGTCAACATTATCTGAGAAAATTGTAACTAATAGAATTATGTTTTTATTAATCTTAATTATTATTTAATTTTGTGTACCGTGAAGTGGACAGCGGTCAGTATGCAGTATCGATTTTATTTGATTTTTCTAGAAGTCTTTTGATTCTGTCTTTAGTAAGGAAATATTTGCGTAATGCTTATTGCTCATTTACGCGCGGCACAGCGCGGCGCAGCGCAGCGAGCGCGAAGAACAATGTTGCATGGGATTTTATTTCATATACTCAAATACAGATCCGCACACTTCTATGAAGCAATGCGCGACGCGGCGCATAGAAGCGGTTGCGTTGAGATTTATATAGTTGAATATATGAAAAAAATCCTATGTAAAATTTTTCTCCCCCGCTTCGGCGGGCCTCATTATAGAAATCGGAGGGGGCAGCGAAAAATGACGTAAATTCCAGGGTTGCCTCCAGGTGATGTGTTACCGAGTAAAAAAAAAGTTCATGCATATATCACACAATGATCTTACATTGTTGTTATTTTTGTGAGTTCGGTAACGTCCAAAGTTATTACAAAGAGGGCTGTAAGTATTAGTGAACTAATGTTCACAAGTGTAGTATACTACTAATATTTGTTGTAAATATTCCGGAGTTAATCTCCGGCGCTTCTAATTAAAAATCCATTTGTATTGTGAGAAGGCCTTTCAACGTCGACAGATGTAATTGGCGTATACTTAAAATATTTGAACATTTCAGAGACCCCACATTTATGTCTTGTGTAGAAAAATCTACTTCTTTGTCATTTAAAGGTCCCACTATACTTGACATCGTAAGAAATTCGGGATTGTTTTTCAACACAGTTTCGAATTTTTGTTTTACTACCTCAGCAATATT